GTTTTGGCTCAGTGGGACGGTTTGTATGTCGGAACCTTTGAGGAGCTTGTGTCTCATACTCCACTTAACGTAACAACTTGTTTGCTACAGCTGTTGTAGGCGTGGCCACCACACCCACCACGCCCTTGTCTTATCCCTTCACACACACGCACACACGCGCGCGCGCTTATGCACCAGCAGAAGATTATAAAAAAGAACATACATTCTTCTCTCAGGGTCACAGGACACGGTGTGAACTGTATGTATGTATGTATGTATGTAAAGACGATGTACACACAGGTTCCAAAAGTAATACTGTGTTAACTGTAAACCCCCTAATATTTCCCCTTAAGCGGGTACAGTAAGGTACAGTCTCTTGTCGGGTACAGTAAGGTACAGTATTTTGGCGGGTACAGTATATTGTCGGATACAGTAAGGTACAGTATCTTGTCGGGTACAGTAAGGTACAGTATTTTGGCGGGTAAAGCAAGGTACAGTATATTGTCGGGTACAGTAAGGTACAGTATTTTGGCGGGTACAGTAAGGTAGAGTATTTTGGCGGGTAAAGCAAGGTACAGTATATTGTCGGGTACAGTAAGGTACAGTATTTTGGCGGGTACAGTATCTTGTCGGATACAGTAAGGTACAGTATCTTGTCGGGTACAGTAAGGTACAGTATTTTGGCGGGTAAAGCAAGGTACAGTATATTGTCGGGTACAGTAAGGTACAGTATTTTGGCGGGTACATCTTGTCGGATACAGTAAGGTACAGTATCTTGTCGGGTACAGTAAGGTAGAGTATCTTGTCGGGTACAGTATGGTCTGATCTCTTGTCCGGGTACAGTAGGTACAGTAGCTTGTCAGGTACAGTATCTTATCCAGGTACAGTATCTTGTCAGGTACAATGGTAAGAGTATCTTGTCGGGTACAATGTCTTGTCGGGTACGAAGTAGGTACAGTATCTTGTCGCGGAGTACAGTAAGGTACAGTATCTTGTCGGGTACAGTAAGTACAGTATCTTGTCGGGTACAGTAAAGGTACAGTATCTTGTCGGGTACAGTAAGGTACAGTATCTTGTCGGGTACAGTAAGGTACAGTATCTTGTCGGGTACAGTAAGGTACAGTATCTTGTCGGGTACAGTAAGGTACAGTATCTTGTCGGGTACAGTAAGGTAGAGTATCTTGTCGGGTACAGGTACAGTATCTTGTCGGGTACAGTAAGGTAGAGACGGTACAGGGTAAGTATCTTGTCGGGTACAGTAAGGTACAGTATCTTGTCGGCAGAGTATCTTGTCGGGTACAGTAAGGTACAGTATCTTGTCGGGTACAGTATCTTGTCGGCAGTAAGGTACAGTATCTTGTCGGCACAGTAAGAGTATCTTGTCGGTACAGTAGGCATCTTGTCGGGTACAGTAAGGCAGTATCTTGTCGGGTACAGTATAGAGTATCTTGTCGGGTACAGTATACAGTATCTTGTCGGGTACAGTAAGGTACAGTATCTTGTCGGGTACAGTAAGGTACAGTATCTTGTCGGGTACAGTAAGGTACAGTATCTGTCGGACAGGTAGAGTATTTGTCGGGTACAGTAAGGTACAGTATCTTGTCGGTACAGTAAGGTATCATTCTGCCGGGTACAGTAAGGTACAGTATCTTGTCGGGTACAGTAAGGTAGAGTATCTTGTCGGGTACAGTAAGTACAGTATCTTGTCGGGTACAGTAAGGTACAGTATCTTGTCGGGTACAGTAAGGTACAGTATCTTGTCGGGACAGTAAGTTCTTGTCGGGTACAGTAAGGTACAGTATCTTGTCGGGTACAGTATGGTCAGGTGACGTGAGGAGTGCGGTCTACAAGTCGCTGCCAGCGGACACTAGGAAAGATCAGTTTTGTTTCTTACAACACCCAGGCGGCCTTGTGGTGGTGGTGTGGTCTGGTGATAGTGGTGGTGGTGGATAGTGGTAGATGGTGGTGGTGTGATAGTGGTAGATGTGGTGGTGGTGTGTGGGTTGTGGTGTGTGGTGGTGGTGGTTGGTGTGTGGGGGTGGTGGTGGTGGTGTGATGTGGTAGATGTGGTGGTGTGTGATGTGGTAGTGGTAGATGTGGTGGTGGTGGTGATGAGGTGGTAGATGTGGTGGTGGTGTGATGTGGTGGTAGATGTGGTGGTGGTGTGATGGTGGTGGATGTGGTGGTGGTGTGATGGTGGTGGCAGATGTGGTGGTGGTGTGATGGTGGTAGATGTGGTGGTGAATTGTGATGGTGGTGGTTGTGGTGGTAGTGATGGTGGTGTGATGGTGGTTTAGTAGTGGTAGTAATTGTGGTGGTGGTGGTGAGTAACAGTGTTGTGGGTGAAGTCCGTGGTGTTGTGTTGGTAAACCTGTTATTCCGAGAAGTGTAATGGATCGTGTTATTACCTTACGAAATGACCTGAAGGTGTGTGTGTGTGTGTGTGTGTGTGTGTGTGTGTGTGTGTGTGTTGCAAGTAAGGTAAGAAAGGAGAGTAGGAGGAGAAAGAGAGGGGGGAGAAAGAGAGGGATGGGGGAAAGGGATGAGAGGGGAAGCGAGAGGGAGAGTGAAGGTGGTCAGGAGGAAATTGTTGGATATGTGTAACCAAGAGATACAGGTGAGGGTTGACTACTGTCACTCACCCTCATCTTCTCTCTCTCACTCTCTCTCTCTCACCTTGTCTCTGTGTCTCTCTCTTTCTCTCGCCCTCTTTCTGTCTGTCTCTATCTCTGTCTTTCTCTTGCCTTTTCTCCATCGGCGAGTGAGTGAGTGAGTTAACCTCCAACCTAACCCTTCCTAACCTAACCAAACCAAACTATCAGAAAAGAGGATGTTCTTAAGAAGATAAATAAACTAAAGAAGACAAAATCCCCAGGGCCGGATGAAATTTTCCCTCGAGTTTTGAAAGAGTGTAGGGAACAGATTAGCGGACCCCTCGTAAACTTATTTACAAAATCATTAGACACCGGAGTTGTGCCAGAGTTGTGGAAACAGGCGAATGTAGTACCCATATTTAAAAAGGGAGACAGATCATCTGCGTCAAATTACCGGCCGATCAGTTTGACGTCAGTAGTGGGGAATTTTCTTGAATCAATTATAGCAGATAACATCCGATCGCATTTAGAGAAAAGCAAATTAATCTACGACTCTCAACATGGGTTTACAAAGGGAAAATCTTGTCTAACAAATTTGCTGACATTTTTTAGGAAAGTCTTCGAGGTAGTAGATAATGACGAAAATTACGATGTTATTTACTTAGACTTTTGCAAAGCATTTGACAAATTGCCGCATCAGAGGCTTCTGAGAAAATTAAGACTCGCCAGTATCGAGGAAAGTTTTAGAATTGGATAAAATCGCATGGCTCACCGATAGAACGCAGAGGGTCAGCGTAGATGGTGATAAATCTGGTGGGGCCGTGTAACCAGTGGGTTCCCCAGGGTCAGTACTAGGCCCACTCTTGTTCATAATCTACATAAGCGATCTAGATACTGGGATCAGCAGTGACATAAGCAAGTTTGCGGATGACATCCAAAATAGGGCGGCAGATTAATTCAGGGCAGGATGCAAATGCAGTACAGGAGGATCTAAATAAACTGCAGGGGTGGTCTGAAAAATGGCAAATGAAATTCAACACCAGTAATTGCAGCGTACTTAATATTGGAAGAACAAATACTGTCAATGTATACAGCCTTAACAACATCAACCTAGAGAAGTCGACTTGTGAAAGAGACCTAGGGGTACTTGTAAGCCCGGACCTACGGCCTAGAAAACAGTGCGTTAATGTTCGAAATAAGGCAAACAGAGTACAGTATTGGGTTTTATATCTAGAAGTGTAAGTAATAAGAGTGCAGAGGTCTTATTGCAACTATATCTTGCGCTAGTCAGGCCGCACCTCGATTATGCGGTTCAGTTCTGGTGCCCCTATTATAGAATGGATATCAATTCACTAGAGTCGGTGCAGCGAAGAATGACGAAAACGATTCCGGGACTTAGAAACCTTCCATATCAGGATAGGTTAAAGAAAATAAACTTGCATTCCCTAGAAAGACGAAGAGTGCGGGGAGATATGATAGAAGTATTTAAGCGGGTGAAAGGAATCAATAAAGGGGATATAGATAAAGTTCTTATAATATCCGAGCAGGATAGGACTCGGAGCAACGGATTCAAGTTGGATAAGTTTAGGTTTAGGAGGGAGATAGGAAGAAACTGGTTCACAAATAGGGTGGTGGACGAGTGGAACAAGCTTAGCAACTTTGTAGTAAGTGCTGGAAAATTTCAAAGGGAGGCTGCATAGATTCATGGATGATAGAGAATGGTAGTAACTCTCGACAGGAGCTGCCATGCACAGGCCAACCTGCCTATTGCAGACTCCTTATTTTCTTATGTTCTTATGTTGTCGAAGGTCACACGAAAAGGTCAGAGTGTGTGTGTGTGGGGTGGGGATCTCCCTAATACGTCATCGGCACTATACATGACCTTTCTTAACACACACACACACGTTATCTCTCTCAAAGTACAGTACTGTATCCATAGTGTTGTGTTGTATTTCAACATCTTGTATATTGTATCATAAACTTTGTATTCTAAGTACAGTTAGGGGGTGGGCAGGAGGTGGGGGGAGTCAGGTGGCTTGAATGACGTACCATTAATAACTGTTACGTAACTCGGTCGTCTCGTACTTTTACTGCAGACAAAAGACGGAAGCTCTCTCTCTCTCTCTCTCTCTCTCTCTCTCTCTCTCTCTCTCTCTCTCTCTCTCTCAACACAGACAATGTCGACTGAGAGAAAATTCACACGAGTCCAAGATGAGAAAAACGTAGACCAAACTCGACCAATCACAGAGCACTTTTATCGCCAAGTTGAATACCATTGGCTGTGTAAGTCAAGAGTAAACAATAATAGAATATATAGCGCGGTAATACGTATATGGAATTACACACACACACACACACACACACACACACACACACACACACACGCAGTGAATGAAACTAATTGTATTCGTATTATTTTTCCCTCAGGTGAGTTACTGTGACGTCGCTGCCATTCTCTATGTCAAACACTGGTGCCACGTCTCCTGAACTCCCCAGTCTAGGACACTGGTGCCACGTCTCCAGCGTTAAAAGGCTGGTAAGCGTTTCATTTGACTGTTATGACTGGCTTGTGGTAGGCAGTCATGATTCAGTGTGTGTGTGTGTGTGTGTGTGTGTGTGTGTGTGTGTGTGTGTGTGTGTGTGTGTGTGTGTGTGTGAGTGTGTGTGGGGTAAAAGTATAAAGTGAACTACGTAATATCATTATCAGTTACAATTATTTTTTAAGAGTTTCAGAAGCGTCAAGCTCCACTAGTACCAGAGTCTTGAATGATTTAACTGGGATTATGTATGTGAGGGAAGGAGGTGATTCAACCACCCACATTGTTATCTCTCAATGGTGGCGCTCTAATGTGGCGTGTGTGGCTCCCTTCCTGTGGTGCAGGACATGGTGTAGCTCGCTTCCTGTGGGAGCTGGACATGGTGTGGCTCGCTTCCTGTGGGGCAGGACATGGTGTGCTCGCTTCCTGTGGGGCAGGACATGGTGTGGCTCGCTCCCTGTGAGTGCTGGACATGATGTGGCTCGTTTCCTGTGGGGCTGGAGATGTGGCTCGTTTCCTGTGGTGCTGTAGTACTGGACATGATGTACTCCTTCCTGTGATGCTGTAGTGCTGGACATGGTGTGCTCGCTTCCTGTGGTGCTGTAGTGCTGGACATGGTGTGGCTCGCTTTCTGTGGTGCTGCTTGCTGGACATGATGTGGCGCTTTCTGTGGTGCTGGACATGGTGTGGCTCGCTTCTTGTGGTGCTGGACATGGTGTGACTCGCTTCTTGTGTTGCTGGACATGGTGTGGCTCGCTCCCTGTGGTGCTGGACATGATGTGGCTCATTCCTGTGGGGCTGGAGATGTGGCTCGTTTCCTGTGGTGCTGTAGTGCTGGACATGATGTGGCTCGCTTCCTGTGGTGCTGTAGTGCTGGACATGGTGTGGCTCGCTTTCTGTGGTGCTGTAGTGCTGGACATGATGTGGCTCGCTTTCTGTAGTGCTGTAGTGCTGGACATGGTGTGGCTCGCTTCTTGTGGTGCTGGACATGGTGTGACTCCTTCTTGTGTTGCTGAACATGACATGGTGTGGAAGGATGGATATAGTGTGGTGGGGTAGACAGTGCCACATAAACTCTCTCTTGTGAATTAAAGTCAATGAATTACTTCCTGTAGGTAATGTGTGTGTGTGTGTGTGTGTGTGTGTGTGTGTGTGTGTTGAGGATGACTTAAAGGTGAGTGTGTTCCTGTAAGAGGCCGTAGGGGTGTGTGTGGATAAGAAGTATTACTTCAGGTGTCCGTGGCCAGAGGAGCGTCTCACTACTACTACAGATCACCTCATCGATGACTCTCCCCCCCGCCCTAGGTTAACAGCCTTACGTTAATCTTTGGGTGAAATAAGCTCTGGTGGCTAATATTCGGGGTAGGTTAGGTTAGGTTGGGTTAGGTTAGGTTAGGTTAGGTGGTGCACTGTATAGCAGGGCGGGAATCGTCTGTCTGGTAATTAGTAAACACCTGAAGAGGCTGCCAGGTGTTGTCATTCCCGCCACACAAACACACACACACACGATGTGGGGGTAGTACTGTGACCCTGGTGATGTATTGGGGGGAGAAATGATATTGGTGTGTGTGTGGGGGTGGTCGAGTTACTAGACTGGCTGATTTAAACCCTTGAGTACCGTGAATAAAATAACCCCTTGAATAAAATGACATGTTATTCAAGGCAAAAGGCCATTCCTATTCAAGGGTTAAAATATTGTATTCAAGCGGTTTGGGCGTGATTATTAGCGTGATTATTGGCGAGATATATTCTGGGTCTAAATGGTTTATACGGAACTATTAGCGTAAGAACACACAGGTAAATTAATTTGCATATTGGTTAATTAGGTGTTACAGGTGAATTAATTCGTGGGTTGAGTGAGTTTATTTAGATGCGTTGCTACACACACACACACACACACACACACACACACACACTACATGTTACAGGTGACTCGTTTTTGTATGACACCGGATGGGTGGATTCTGGTGACTACACCCGGCACTCTCACTCACACTCTTCTCTCTACGCTCTCACTCTCACTCACACTCTTCTCTCTACGCTCACACTCTCACTCACACTCTTCTCTCTACGCTCTCACTCTCCTCTCTCTACACACTCCTCTTCTCTCTACGCTCTCACTCTCACTCACACTCTTCTCTCTACGCTCTCACTCACACTCTTCTCTCTACGCTCTCACTCTCACTCTCTTCTCTCTACGCTCTCACTCACCTCTTCTCTCCTACGCTCTCCTCTCGCTCTCACTCACACTCTTCTCTCTACGCTCTCACTCTCACTCACACTCTTCTCTCTACGCTCTCACTCACACTCTCTCTCTCACACTACGCTCTCCTCCTCACTCCCACTCTTCCCTCTACTCTCACCTCTTCTCTCTACGCTCTCACTCACACTCCTCTCTCTACGCTCCACTCCTCACTCCTCTCCCTCTACACTCACACTCTTCTCTCTACGCTCTCACTCTCACTCACACTATTCTCTCTACGCTCTCACTCTCACTCACACTCCTCCCTCTATGCTCTCACTCTCACTCACACTCCTCTCTCTACGCTCACACTCTTCTCTCTACGCTCACACTCTCACTCACACTCTTCTCTCTACGCTCACACTCTCACTCTTCTCTCTACGCTCACACTCTCACTCCTCTCTCTACGCTCTCACTCTCACTCCTCTCTCTACGCTCTCACTCTCACTCACACTCCTCTCTCTACGCTCACACTCTTCTCTCTACGCTCACACTCTCACTCACACTCTTCTCTCTACGCTCACACTCTCACTCTTCTCTCTACGCTCACACTCTCACTCCTCTCTCTACGCTCTCACTCTCACTCCTCTCTCTACGCTCTCACTCTTTTACGCTTTCTCACACTCCCACAACAACCTCACTCCACCACAGTACACCACCGCATGTAAAGTGTGTGGCCATACATATGGCCACACACTTGAACACTACGTCCTCGACTGTGTGAAGATAGAACCTTTTAGGGACAGGTCCAAGCACACTGTGTGTGAAATGGCACAACACTTCATCTCTAATGGCAAGATAGCCGACATATTAAGATTGTATCCACTTTTTTGCACTTAGTAACTATATCATTCTCATGTACAGAACCAAATACGCAATGTGCTTGAATACCTCCCACGTAAATGTGAATAACAAAGTGTGAGGCCAGACATACTGCCTCACACGCCTGTTCTCACGCATTTGTGAATAAGTTACCCTTTATGTATAGAACTAAACAAATAATGTAAATGAAATAATGTGTAACATTCAGTGCCATAATATCCTGACAACGGGGGTTAATTATTATGACCCTTTGTAAACCCTACTCTGTGATCCTTTTGCCCTACCGCTCACAGGATGAGTGTGGGGTGCACAATAAAGTAGCCGCTGCAAGCGGCAAAATCAAAATCAAGCATTCTAACACACACACAACAACCTCACGCCACCACACTCACCCACACTCCATTCAGGGCGCTACACGTTGCTTTTAACACACTTACACTGCCACACACACACACACATGGAGGGGTTGTAGGCGCCTCTCACTTGTCGTCACTGTATCAGGAGTAGCGAGGTAGCAGGGCCTCTTTTTGTGTGTGTGTGTGCATGTGCGTGTAAGTCCGTGTGAGTTTGTGTGTGTGTGTGTATCCCTATACGTGTACGTCCATGTGGGTATATGTGTATATACATGTGCGTGTACGTCCGTGTGAGTTTGTGTGTGTGTGCATGTGCGTGTACGTCCGTGTGAGTTTGTATGTGTGTGTACATGTGCGTGTACGTCCGTGTGAGTTTGTGTGGGCCGTGTTAGTCGAGCCCTGGAGCACGACAGGTCCAGGCCGCCTGTCCGTCCTCCTCCTCCTCTTCTTAACTCGTTACTCCACATGAACCACCTGCTAAGTTCCCCTCCTAACCTCCTGATCCTCCACACCCCCTGACCCTCCTCACCCCCTGACCCTCCTCACGCACCCCTCACCGGCCAGCTGTAAGGTGGCGGCCCAGCTGGTCCCTAAATGCGTTTATGAGGCTCGGGAGGTCAGTGGGGGAAGGGCCGTTTATGACCTCTTAACGGGGTGTGGGACAGGTGGCCACTACGATACGCTGGCTTGTAGTATACCCAGAAGAAGCCTTGTAGGACCCCAGTAGAAGCCTTGTAGGACCCCAGTAGAAGCCTTGTAGGACCCCAGTAGAAGCCTTGTAGGACCCCGGTAGAAGCCTTGTAGGACCCCAGTAGAAGCCTTGTAGGACCCCGGTAGAAGCCTTGTAGGACCCCGGTAGAAGCCTTATAGGATCCCAGTAGGGAATATTTTGACAGTATCCCCCAGGAAGACACGTGTGTGTGTGTGTGTGTGTGTGTGTGTGTGTGTGTGTGTGTGTGTGGTTGATGGTGAAAGGTCAAGGCAGATTACCAGTTCTTAATCCCCCTGGGCCACGCATGCGGTCGGTGGTGGTGGTGATAGTAGACCGCTGGACGCGTGTACTTTGTCTGTTTCGGAAGGAACTGTGGAGGGAGTGTAACTTTCGCGCTACGGACCGTCCGTCACCGGCGGAGGGAGGAACTGCTACCCAAGAATGTTCATTGAGTGAATGAGTGAGTGAGGCCGCCCACCTCGTCGCCGTCGATGAGGTTGAATTGGGGCCAAGGACAGAAATAAACTTTTTTTTATTGGTGAAACTGTTTGTCAGCAGCAGGACCTAAGTGGTGATACAGCTGTGTGGTGTGAGGAGATGATGGTGGTTGTGCCGGGTGGAGGGCATCTGTGTGTGTGTGTGTGAGTGAGTGGGGGAAGTCCCTTTACACCCCTGGACCAGGCCAGTCCAGAGCTGGTCGGTGCGTCGAGTGGGTCTCGCGTTCACCACCACACAAACACACACCTAACCTTTTGCTGCCTCGCTACCTGCAGGTGAAGGGTACGACCTAAGGTATAAACCTACTGGGTGGTGAAGGAACTACCTGGAGGAGTAGTCACGTGTGTGTGTGGTGGTGCTTTGTTGACCCGG